TATTATTAGGTTTATATAAGCCTTTTTTAAATCCTTGAATATTTGGAATATCTTCAGAAGGTGTCAAAAATAAAGTAAGTCAGATTTTTACATCATTTTGAAAATCTTTAGCTTTTGTTGTTAGATTTTTCATTTTTAGGTAAAGCTCATAAAATTTATTTCACAAATCTCGTATCATATTAGCATGATTTCTTGAAAGAATTTTTGTTAAATCAAAGAATTGTAATATATTAAGTTTGTCATTTCCTATTAGTGAAGTATAATTCCAGTTTTAGAATCTTGATTTAGCCAAAAATGAAAATTAACTTTAACTTTTTTCATTTCTTCTATAATTATTATTCATGTAATATCATTAAACAAACTATATTTCATTAATTCTACTATTACAAGTCTCCATAATCGATCAATAATTTGAAATATTACATGCAACTCATCAGAAATCCAATAATTAAGAGATATCATGTCAAAAAGTGATTTTCGCAAATGCCCTTTATAGTAATTATATTGTTTAACTAATTTATTCATTTCTTTACTAATTTTTCATTCTTTTGATAGATCACTTTGTGATTTATCAATTGTGCATCAAGGACAAAAATTCTTACTGTAAGCATTATTAAATCCTAAATAAATAGCTAAAAATTTCCAATCTGACGTTGAAAATTTTATTTTATATTATTAATAACTAATTCTTGATCTTTTAAATTTCTTAAATCATAAAAGAATGGAACTATTACATTTAATAAAGAATTATAATCTTCATATTTAGGATAAAGTATAATTGTATAATGATAATTTGATTAATATAAAGTACTTTTATTATTTAAGATAGCTATTATAATTGTCACATGTTTGATCTTTCTTCTGATATTTTGTTTATTTCCAGAAATCTAAAGATGAATTGTTGGCTGACATGAATTCAAAATTTGATTTTTAACAAGGTTAAAAACTAAATATTATAAAATATTTATAACACTTCTATAACTACCTTTATTAATTGCATTAATTACTCCTTGTATTATAGATTCATTGTCTATATCTACTACTTCAGATTGATCCACTTGATTTTCAGTATTTACATTAACTATTGATATTGGTATAAGTTGAGATATTTTTCATTTATATTTTGATGCTCTTTAGATATTACTTTTTCACAAGATAGGTAAGGCTTTATAGCATATAAATATCAATAGGAATCTCTTAAAATGTTTCCTTTATCTAATGCCTTAACCATTGATTCATTTTTTTTACTTCTTTCTAGCTTTATTTTCATTTTCATAATTAATATCAAAAGTATAGTTTTTATGGAATAACATATGGGTAGATTGCTAGGAAAATCAGGTTCTGGGAATTTTTTAGCAAAATTGAGATTTTTATTGCATTTTAGTTTTTGATGTAATTAGATTAAAATGTATTAAGCTCTTAATTTTAGTCAAAAATTTCTTGGAACCTAATTTTCCTAGAAACACTCCTATATACTTTCCAATATTGATACATCTTCTGAATTGTAGAGTTTTGATACTTTCTTATTAAATTTAAATAATTAGATCAAGAGGATAGTTATATATTTCTTGTGCATTAGCCATTGTAAAAAAGTTGAGAAATTAAGAAGTGTATAAATAATGCATAATAATATTAGTTCATATCTTTATGATTACCTAACTAATCAAAATTTATAGATATGATACTACCATATTATTAATTAATAATTGTTACCATAGGGTTACAACTCAAAATTAGGGTTAGAGTTAAGATCTATGAATATGATGAATATCATATTGAACCCTCTGAAATTGATATTAAAAAGTATATAAAATACATTTCACAAGTATAGCATAATGTTACAAATAAAACAATTAAAAATTGTTGGATAAAAGCAGATATTTTATCTAATGATAATTATGAAAATAAGGATGAAACTGGTATAGGAGATGAAAGAAGTTCAAGTATTAATTGATAAACTAGATTTTAACAATTTTTTTTTTTACTGAAGAATTTATTAAGTATAATAAATCTGAAATTAATAGATAAAATAATATCTGATAAAGAAATTTTAAAAGCAGTTTTATCTGATCAAGAAGATAAAAAAGATGAAGATTTTTTATTATCAATAATTACTTCTGAAAAAGTTATTGAAATTTATGATAAAGTAATTTTATATTTAGAGCAACAAGAAAAAACTTTTGATATGAAAAAAGAAGAGTTAAGATCTATTAAAAATTTTAGAAAATAAGCTTTAAAATAACAGTTTGTCTCTTCAAAATAAACTAATCTCTATAAATTTATTACTATAATTGAATAATAATTTAAGGGATTATGTAATAATGTTTACAGTTTTTTTTATTTTTTACAGAATAAAATGATATCATAATCACAAGAAATTTTGATGTGTTGACTAAATAACACTCCCGTGATTATGTTGAAATTTTGTTGAAATTATGTTGAGAAATCACATTATTTTTATTAATTTTTAATCAATTTTGTTGAACTTATGTTAAAATTGCTTATTGATTTTTTACTAAATTGTGACGAATTATTTTATAATGATTTTTATTTATCACTGAGGTAATGATTTGTTATTGTAAATCTACTCTAATTGTCTAATGTATTATATTTATTAATTTGTATAGATTATTTTTAAATTGATCTAATTTTTATAAATAATATGATGTATTATTATTTTGACTTTTTGTTTTTAATACAAATCAGAATTTCGATCATGAAGAATTTTTATTGTATTATTTCAATTATGAGTTTTGCTTGTTATATTTAGATTGATCTAATTTTATAAATAATACGATGCACAATTATAATACAATGCTTAAATTATTATTTTGACTTTTTGTTTTTAATACAAATCAGAATTTCAATCAAGATTGTATTATTTCAATTATGAGTAAAGAATTTTACAAAATATCAAATCAAATAGATAAATTTATTTATAAAGGGAAGTATTTTTATCATTATATAATTTTTCACCTTTTGAATCTTAATCCACCTTTACATTATTTAATTTACTTCTTTAAATCTTTTTTAAATTAAACGTAAAATAACCACAAGAATAATTTGAAAAGATAACAAAATCAATTTATTAGTCAAGAAAAGAAGGAGAAGAAACAAAAAGTATTATATTAGATATAGAGAAAATAAAATAGAATTCTGAAGAAGTGTAGCTCGACGAATTAATTGAAGATATGATACAGCATATTCAACTTGCCAATGTGAGTTTAAATGGAGAAATTTAGTATGTGATTACAATGTACATAAATAAATGAATAATAATATAATGATAAATATAACTTAACAGTATAATTAATATCTTTTAAAATTTTTTGCAATTATTGAAATGAAGCAAGAAGAGGTGAAAGATAGAACTATACTGCAAAAAGATTATATAATCTCTTTAGGACTCAATTCTGAAATAGGCCAGATAATAATTAAAAACGTTTAAATGATTTTTAGATTTATATTAAATATATTTACTTTTTTAGAATCAAGGTATATTCAAAGAAAAATTATAATTTGTCTACTATAAGGCAAATACGAAATATAAAGCAAAATTGTGATGTACCTATAAGGCAAAACTAAAATAAACAGTAAAATCACAACGTATCTGCAAGGTAATAAAAATTTTATTTTTTTGTTTCGTTTATTTAATTTCGTTTATTTAATTTCATTTATTTTTTTTATATTGTTCATTTAATTTTATTTTCTTTTCGTATCGTTTATTTAATTTCATTTTTTCATTTATTTCATTTTTTTAATTTTATTATTTTATTTTATTTTATTTTCCTAATTTCATTTTTTCATTTCATTTCATTTTCCTAATTTTGTTTTATAGTTTCTTTTCGTTTGTTTAATTTTATTTTTTCGTCTTATCTCGTTCACTTAATTTTATTTTATAGTTTCATTTCAATTTCTTAATTTCATTTTTTCATCTCATTTAGTTTTCTTTTTGTTTCATTTTTATTTTATTTTAAAAAAATGATAAATTAATAAAACTGTTGTACAACGATTAACAAATTGCATATTAAAATAAAATAACTAAAATTTACAAAATAACGTGAAAATATTTCTAGAAAAATTATATCATAGTAAAATTATATTTGTATAATAAAATCAGTAATCATCTACTATAACAAATAATTTATTATAGTGTTAATGAAGATTCTTATAATGAAGGCCTGATCAACTAGATCGGTAACTTCATTATAATGAGGTATGACTGTATAGGGTGTAGTATTAATTAGAGATGATATGAGTTCAGAATCAGAAATTGCATTTGCTAAATTGGATACATTAGATAAAATTCGTACTTTTGCTAAATAAATAAAACTTTGCAGAGTGATTTATGCAAATATATAATATGTATATAACAGATATCGAAAGGGCATATAGAAAGATTAGTTTTACATGATAAATCGTTTCAATGCTATAGTTCAGCAGATAAAACTATGATTAATGAAATTTAGTGTAAGTAATTTTAGAAAATTACATATATTAACGTTAATACTAAAAATTCATTAATATTTATTCTATTCAACACCATTTTTAGATAATTTTATTTATTGATTGAATTTTAAAGATTTCAGAAACAATAAGTAATATTTTATCAAAAAAATACAATTATAACAATTTATGAAAACACATTGCAGGTAGCGTCAATATACTTTTTAGATAATTTGGTTTTATTATTTAAACATTAATTTAATACATTTATATTGGGATAAATTCTCATTTTTTAAATAGATAAAAAATGTGGACAATCATCATGTACTATTTGTTAATCTATTCAGCTTTCAGATGATATTTTTAATTTACTTAATTAGTTGCTGGATCCTATCCCTTCTACAAATATGTCATAAGATTTTTATTTTATTATATATAGAATCTTTGATAAATACAATTTTATTAATTGTAGTGGATAAAGATCATTATGCCAACTTTTAAACAGCATATCAGTCAGAAACAACAGAACCATATTATCTAACACTTATGATAAAATGGCTAATAATGAACGTGTACTATCATCCATTTTTACAAATACACAAGTTCGTGAATTTATTCAATATTTTCAATGTGGGAAGATACAATGTCTTTACAGTGAGCGTGCATTATCAGCAGAAGATAAGATAGCATGCCAAATTGCTATATATGATTGGGATTACAATTGTGGATCACCATTTGTACAGAGGATAATATTCTATACAACAAAGTTTTTGTACAAGAAAAAATTAGCTGTGAAATGCCAATGAATTGGCATATTATTCATGCTGAAAAAGTAATACTAATAATGGTGATACTTGCTATAGGTGTAAACATAATAATGAATTGGCAGAACCTCTAGAAAGCCTTAAGTTGAAATACAATCCTTGTTTCCATGCTATACATTGTGACGAAATGCAGAAAAGGATATTTTGTACGTGATGAAATTAAAACTCATACAAGGGCTACAAAGAAACGTAAGATTGGTAACTGAATAAAATTTCGGTAATATTTGTTGAATTGTTAAATATAAAGTTTATTTAAGGATCGTAACTAAGGAAAATTATTAAGATTTTATTAATCATTTCATAATTTAATTAATAAATTCCGTAAATAATAACGAGTATCACGTGATTTATTATATGTTTGACTGTTGTTCAAACCCCCCCCCCCGATAAATCACGGACCCCGTTATGTTAAACAAAGTTTAGGTTTGGTGCGGCCTAATTAATGTTTGAAGTTTCTCTCCTCCTTCAGGCAAAAATCGTTCATTTATTGTCCCCCTCCCTACATTAAATTCTGATATTATCAACGGGGGTTTTTTTTTTTTTGCCTTTTGCAAGTCTCAAAAACTTTGTTACTTCACACCAGAATTCCTATGATTTCATAGAATTGAAATATTCGTGGAAAAGGCAAGTCACGTGATACATCCTAGCACACAATCACTCTTTTTTTTTTTTTATAATAATTGATTTATTTAATTGCATAAAATTAAAAAATAGCTTATTCTCACCCAACGGAAAGGAAGTATTTAATATAACGATATGAAATTGCGAATAAATGATACAAATGATGATGAGAAAAAAGAAATTTACACAGTCACGAACGAATGAATAAAAAATATTTACTAAATGAATATGGATGAATTGAAAGTTGAATAAAAACTATAAATAAATAACGAAAAATTCTAGCTTTATGTGCAAAATGTAAAACGTACGACTTAATAAAATAAAATTGAATGGGGGGGGAGGTTTTTTTTTTACAAAAGCCAGGTTGTCAAACGATAATAAAAATGATGATATCTTTGTATTCTACCCGGAAAAAAAAATATATTCAGATGTTGCCAATTCTAATCTATACAAGCGAAAAAAAATAAAACATAAAAAAAATCATATTAAACAAACGAATAAATAAATCTATAGTTGAATATATACATAGCTAATTCTTGTATTGTCAGTTAACATATTCCTTATTGTCGTATGTTTCATATTCCACTATTTTCGAATCCAAACGATACATTTGATTCAAATTGATAGTCATGATCAATCCCGTCATATCCAATACATATCGAAGTGGTTGGAATTGTTGCTCTACAATATTTATTATGTCTTTTACTTAATACATGAATCGCCGGTTCGGTATATGGGCTAGCTTTTTTCTTTAAGCCCGAAGATGAGGAAGGAGGGGATCTCATTATTCTTGATTGTGAAGGTGATGATGTCGTAGGGTAATTGTCATTCGTTGCTGTTGAACTATTGTTATAAAATCGCATACGGCTACTATCGTCATCATACATTGATGATTCATCTCTTTCTGACATAACATTACTATTAATATTTTCGGAAGGAAATGAATCGACTTGATTTTCATTTGTATTCAGAGAAACATACCTTTTTGAATGTTGCGAGGTAGGAGGGCTATTCGGTGAGGTATGAGTTTCTTGATCAATGGAATCAAGTGACATTTGATTTTGGCGAGAATTGGATGACAAGGATTGCGATTTAAAGCCGTTTTGCGTGTAATATTTTACAGGTGATGATGGGGAAGGAAGTGATTGAGATTGAGATCGCGATTGTGAGGAAAAATAATTTGTCGGAGGTGAAACTGGTGATTCCGCGATAGTCATGTGATCAAACGGGGAATGCACATCAAATTCTCCGTCAACGATGGTAGAATTTATGTCAGAGTGTAAATTTGCTGATTGAGATGCCGACATCATCCAGAATGGTTCATTTGCTGACGTGGTTGCTATGTCACTTTGTGAAAGGGAATTTGTTGGAATCATTTGGGTATCAAACGTATTCGCGAACAAAGGTTGGCTTTCATCACTGTTGTTAGTTTGGTGAAGAAAATCAAAATTTGCATTTGATTGTTGAACTTGATTTCTCTTTTGTAAAGGGATATCGTTCATTGAAGGTGATGTTTGCAATGACAACATTTGTACGGATTTCATTGGACTAACAGACTTCCCGCTATTGACGTTATTATAAATCATATTATCATCATTATCATCATCAGCATTATTATTATCATGATTTTCATTATCGTTTACAAAAGGCTTTGAATAAGTTTGATTTTGCATCGTAGGACTTATTTTAATAATCCCGATCGAAGAAGAATTGTTTAACCCAAATGAACTTATGATAAGATCTAATCCATCCGGATTAACGATTTGTCCACTCGGGGTTACTCCAAAGATTTCTTCATGACTGAACTTATCTTGGTACTTCTTCAAAATATTTTCGAGCGAGTTAAAAGTTTTTTGCGCCAATTCTTTCATGATATTATTTTGTTTATAATATTGACAAATTCTAATGGTTTTAACGATATTTCTGTATGAATCAATTGCTAAAGCTCGTTGTGGAGATAAGATATTTTTCGAATGAATTTTTGCTGCTTTGCCAAGGCAATAAAACATTGCCGGAAAAGTGACACATGTTTGCACATTATTTAATGATTCGACTAGGTAAAGATAATGAGATGTTAAAATTTTTTTGGGGGACTTAAAAATCACGAGAATATTTAATCAGAGTTCAAAGACATACCTCCGATATTAGTTATAATGCTAGCCGCTGAACTGCAAATGTTCATACTTTTGGTAAAAGTCTTGGTCGTTCTAACCTTTTGATCTCCTCCCTTATCACTATACCCTGCTATGTATGGATAATATAATAATAAATGTAAAGTCTGATGATACATGTGTAAACTGGCAATTTGCCCTGGAAGGCTCGAATCCTGCATTGAAGGAGCATAGTTCAGATATGGTGGTAATTCCCTTACCCAATCCGATAATGAGGATTCAAAAATGTTAATGATAGAATGGTGATTCCACGAGGCTTGTAAGCCTTCACACGAATTTGTTTGCAAATGTTCTAAAATTTGGCCGGTAAGCTTTGTAAGACGAATAAAATTGATGAAGGTATTGATTTGTTGTTTGTACATTGAACTATAAGAAACCGGAGAGGTGGACCTTGAAGCCTGTCGTTGCGAAGCTTCACCTTGTTGGAAATTTTGGGAACTTTCCTCATTATCACTTGGAAAATCTGTATTACCATCATCGAATTCTAATTCATCAAGTGAAGGAAGTTCAATATCACACATCTTATCATTAATTATTAATGGATCGCCAGTCATGAGAGAGGTTAATCTGTCAAGGATGAAACATCCCCACCAAACCAATTTTTTCGTATGACGATTTTTGGCCCCTTTATATGCTGCGCCATTTTTGCGATTTAAGCCGATAGATTGTGCCATCTTAATCGCGGTGGAAGAATACGTTTGGGAACGATATGAGGATGGTTTCCCTTGATGCACCAAACAAAGTAAAACTAACGCTTGGATTGTTGATAATCTAGGAACTTCAATAAAATGATCCAGCAAAACTAAACAAAAACGAAATTTATTATTTAGTTTAGTTTTTGATTCATAAACAAGATTTGTAGAAACGCAAATAACTTACTTTTTGCTCTCTCATAAAAAAATTGAGAACTATAGTCAACATTCTGTTTCTTGTTAGGCGGATACATTGCACCAATGGTGCAAATAGTTTCAACTAATAATTCTGAAGGCTGATCCTGAACATTGGTGTTATTCAACGATCGAAAGAATTGTACACGATCAACGATAGGAAAATACGGATGAAAATGATTAAAATAATTCTCAAACAAATGTCTGGAAATCTGTTCGGGAATCGGCTTTAATTCAACGATTGAGGTTGGCAATGCCGGTTCTACATAATCGGACGATTCATCTGTATCATCAAGCATCAAGAAGGACAAACGGTTACTCTGCAACGTGTTGGACAAATTTGGATCAACCAAATTATTTAAGAGAATTTCCTCATCTACAATGGTCAGTTCTTCCGTGTAACCCGGAAGATGATTTTGTGACGCATCTGATATCTGAGAATCTGATGGTGGGGTGGAAGGGATAATTAAATGATTCCGTTGAGCCGGTGTCGCATATTGAGGATCTTTAAAATTGGTAGAATTTTTTTGAATAGCCGAAGAAGATTCGGCCGATGTAGAATCTAATCGCTCGCGTTTTGTCAGAGACGAAAGATCGTCTTTATTCACAATTTTAACTAGAAGAGACTCAATCGTATGTAATCTGTCTTCGATCAAGGCAACAAATCCTTTAGGAGGACCCCGGGGTCTTTTCGAAGATGCGTCACTGAATGAGCATTGATAACCTAAAAAAAAAAAAATAAGGGGATCGAATTAGTTTTATTTTTTTTTTTTAGAATTTTGTTTTTCTTTTGAATATTTACCTCCACGTTGACAATTGGTGCAGGGTGATGCACCATCGCATTTAACTTTTCTTCTACGGCATGCATCACAAGCAGTAGTGATTTTTACTCGTTTATTCTCGTGTGTATCACCTGATTCATCGACTACCATATTATCTAATACAAACAAACTCATTTTGGATAAATTGTTGTCTTTTCAAGAGGTGTTACAGGAAAGAAGAAAAACAATGTACGAAAATACGTAATAAAAAACTTAAATTTGTAAAAAAAAAAAAAAAAAGGAAAAAAAAATTTTTCAAGGAATTTTTGGGGGATCTTTTTGTATTTGAAACGATAAAAATGTTAATTGTCACCGAACCAAATTTATGATCATTTTATTGCAATTGTAAATGTCTTTCATTCGGTTTCGATATTATAAATTCGTTATATTCGCTGAACTTTTAAAGTTTTAATTTTAATCCGGTTGAAGAATGTCGCACAAAAAAAAAACCCCAGATAATAAAGATTGAATAACGAAACCACAACGGGTTTATTTGTAAATTTTTTTTTTCCTTGAAATAATGTTCCCCCCTTTATATAAACTAACAGAATGATCGTCATAACATTAATATCATTTATTATATATGTATACACGTTTGTACATCAAATAATTATACAAAACTACTGTAAATTAATAATAAATATTTAATATTAC